CCTGACCTTGCAAGATGAGTGGCACAGGAGGCCTGGTTCCAGGTGCGGCTCTGTTCCCGAGCAGCCGTGTGACCTTGAGAAGGTCATGTGATTTCTCTGAGTCACCTTCCTTGTCAGAAAAATAAGGAGACTGGGCCAGATAATTCCTCAAGGCCCTTCCCTTTCTAACGTTCTGTGGTTCTCTGTGAACACTTACTGGAGAAGCTGCCAAATAGCTACTGCTCTGGATTAACGGACAGCCCCATCCTGATGGAGTGAGCACGTTCACATAAACGGAGTCCTCACCCCTCACACCCTGTGAAGGCTGTGGTTGAAGGGTGCACAGAGTTAGAATGAATGGCTAGTGTGATAACTCAGAAGTCATTTGACTTGGCTGGGTCTCTTGGCTTCAGGCATTATTCCTTTTTTCCCCCTTTTATCCAGGGGAGGTAATTAGGTTTATTTATTTATTTTAATGGAGGTACTGGGGTTTGAACCCAGGACCTAGTGCATGCTAAGCATGCCCTCTACCACTAAGCTATACTCTCCGACTCTGGGTATTATTCTTGATCTAAAAGAATTACCCACAGTCCCCTCAATCCTTCCCAGGGTCAGGATCCCCCATCCTATATCTCTGGATCAACAGCATTACCAGCCCTTCACCTAAGCCTAGTCCCAAGATGATCAGAGTCATTAGCATGATCCTCAAAGTTCCAGAAGTTCTGCCACAGCCTTGTCACCACAACCAGCTCGATCTCCACGTCCCTCTGGTCCTAGCTCTTCTGACCTCAAGTGATAAACTCTCCCCTGGGACGTGACACTTTTTTTGTAGGTCCCAGAGACCACTGTTAATAGCTCTTTCTGGTAGCCAGAGAAGACTTCTCTCTAGTATCAGCAAGATTACAGACTAGATCCAGATCTAGAACCAGACCTCGGGAGCTAACCTGCTAACCTCTAAGCTGATTATTATCTCTTCAAAATGCCCTTGGCCCCAGTTACCCCTCGAAGTGGAGTTTTTGTCTTTAGTTCTCCCCTATATGCACTTTCCCCCAAGGTTCCTCCTTGACCATTCCAGAGAACCTTCTCTGAAATTCAAGGGTAGCTTTTCTCTCCCATCTTTGGTGTAAAACCCTTCAACCCAAAATCCAGGTCCTATCTAGATTGCATGCAATTATAGTTTCTGGTAGCCTGAAGTACATATCAGAGTTCTTGGGTTTCATTTACCAATTACAGATCACCAGAGCCTTAAGTTAGAAACACAAACAAGCCAAGAGACGGACAACTAACAACACAATTTAGACGATACAAAGAGCCAAGTGCGAGGCATAGATTATAAATCTTATTATTGTTTCTGCAGATAAGAAATAAACTGAAAGCTAAAGTAGCCTGTGTTATTCCCAACTATATTGTTGAATAAGAAGATAAGAAAATGTGTTTATAGTCTTTCTAGAATGTTCTAGGAGCTGTTCAAATTTGGGGCTCCATTAACCCCTATAGCAATACCGAGAGAGACACCACTGTTGTAATTTTACAGACGAAGAAATAAAGGTCGAGAAATGTATGTATCTTGCTCTAAGTCACTTGTCTAACACGTAGCAGGCAGGTCTTTAAACAGCAGGTCTCTATGACTAATGAAGTCAGGTCCATCCTGCCGGTGTCTCTCAGAGCCTCGGCCATGGACTGCCTGAATCAGGTGTATCTGGTTTACCTCTTAAAACGTAGATTCCAGGGCGTCTTCCGAGACCTACAGAATCAGAATCTCCAGGCATGGTTTGACAATCTCTGCAGGAGACACGGATCCACTAAAGTTTATTTACCAGTATGCTATAGCGTGCTGGCACCCTCTAAAGTCAAAGGCTGAATCTCATCAATCTTCCCTATCCCTGGCTGCCTCGAGCACAGAATTGAGCACCTGGTAGGTGCCTAATTAAATCCATGTAGAAACAAATTTGTTCAGATGCAGCCTTTTTCTTCAACTGAGCGACAGTGTCTGAGCAGAGGTTAAGGTGACAAGAGCCTTCCTTAAGCAAACACACTGCTATGAACCAAATACAAAACGAGCCGCCTAGAAGGAAAAAAGTCCAGGAAAGTTCCAGGGCTTCCTCACTTTGAGTCCTTCTACCACGCCCATGGCAGTCCCTGGGGAGGGGGGATCCGGAAAAGGGAGGTTGCTTCCTGCCGCCAGTTTGGATCAAAGCCTCTCTCCTTAGTGCTTCTGTGCTCCTGAAACTCGCTCCATAATTCAAGAAATAACTTGGCCAGGGGCTACACAGGACTACAAAGAAAATATGTACAGAAAACACAAGTAAAATGAAAACAGGCCCATATCTCGGATACGAATGGGACAACCCTGTTGGCCTTGAGATTTCATGAGGCAGAGTGACAGGGACGAGCTTACTGAGCCCAAAGCCCCTTCTGAAGAGGAGCTACACTTCCGTGCCGAGGGACCGGCGCAACATCAAAGGAACCCTCCTCCTCTCGCAGTTCTTTGTTTCTACATGAATTTTATTTAACTAACTTTTTTTCCAAAGTAAACACTTACTCCCTTATACAGACAAGAGAAGGATAGGAAAGTGGTTTAATGTGGGCCTCCTGTGCACACAAGGAAGCCCAGAAGGTGGCATCTGCTAAGGAAGGAACACAGAAGCCAGTCTCCGCGCATCTCCAGAAACCCAAGTATCCCTAAGGGGGAAAGCACTGATTTTCTCTAGTGTCTCTAGTGAGTAGTTTCGAAATTTGCATGTCAGCAGGGCCTTCGTAATATATTCAATTAAAATTCAGCCTGATTATTTATTGATTTTACATTTTCCTGCCCTGTTACTGTCCAGGCAATTTTCTAGCCACTCTCAAAATACCTCTCATGCTTCCTGGGAAAAGGCTGATACAAACCCAGAATTCCCAAACAAGAGCTGAAATACAGAGCTAATTATTTCAGGCATGCCTCTGCTACTCCAGCAGGTCTTTATGGGTTCAAGAGAAGTCTTAGGTCTGCTACAAAGGCCAGATTTCAATTTGGGTAATTAGACTTTGCCCTACCCCCGAGAGTTCCTCTGACACAGTTTCCTTCCGTTGCTTCCTGAGTCTGTGTGTTTGTGTGTGTGTGTGTGTGTGTGTGTGTGTGTGTGTGTGTGTGTGTGTGTGTGT